ATTTTAATATTAAAGAGTAGTTTTAGCTGTCCGCACAAAAGTATGCAACAATTCAGTGAAAATTGTATTTACACGACTGCTCAAACTTTATATGATACTAATAATTTTCAGGGAAATAAAGATAATTTTATAAAGTAAAGCTAATACAATATTGTTTCATTTTTTTCTAAAAGTATGACCTAAATTTTTTTTCAAAATTTTTTTATTTGCTTTTTGCAAAAAAAAATTGCAAATGATACTGAATTTTAGCTAATATTTTTTTATACAAAAAAAAATAATAAAAAATAATAAAATTTGTTTCCATTAATATTGAATAATTATATATCTGCCCAGAAGTATGCAATGCTTAAAGAATAACTGAGTTCAGACGAACTCTCAAGCCATTTTTGAAAGTCTTAATTATCGAGGAAAAAGATTTTAAAACTATTCAACGAATATGAACTGAAATATTGATTAATTTTTCCATTACAAAAATAAAATAATGTCAAAAAACTTTTCTGAAATTTCGTTTTTCAATTCAATTGCTCTTCAGCATACTAAAATACTTATTCATACTTCCTGAAAGATAAAATATTTGAAAGCACGAAATTCAATTCTCGCAAAAATTGTTCTTGTTTTATCACTTTTCTGAAAGACTTTTCCTCCAAGAAAACTAGAATTTTTACATTAACTTTTTTTTTTTAGATTAAAAAGATAAAAAATATATAAAGCCAAAAATATTGCTGTTAATTTTGGGAAAAAAGTTCAGCCCAAAAATATGCAATATTTTAATTATAATTAAACTCACACTACTTCTCAAACGAATTATTAAAATTTTCCCCACACAAACAAAACCAATATCATTCGAATTAAATAGAGATTAAAACTCTAAAATAGTGAGAAATATTTTTGAAAATCTTTTCAGCAAAAGACATTTTTTCTTTAGCAAAAAAATTTCTATTCAAGTCGATTTTCGCTCAATAGACAAAATTTCTGAGATTGAAAATTAAAATTTTTTGAAACGAATTATTTTTGTTATGAAACAAGGCTGTCATGAGGCTTATATTTGAAACATATGCACACAAAAATATTTTAATCACGTTATCTTACTGCATTTTTCATGCTCTTCAACCAATCATCTACCATTTAGGCTTAAATTGATAACAAAGTAGCAGCAGCAGCACTTTGGTAAATTGAAATGAAAATTTTGTGGAAAATATTTTCTAAAACACAAATCCAAATAGAAATTTCTGCCACTTACCGTAGGCATACGAGTGTACTTTTACTGGTACTTGCTGCCCATAAAGGCAATCATATCACACTGGAGTGTTTTAAATGACACTTGAGGTTTAATTTGTAAATATTTTCAAGTAGTTTGTGTAATTTTCATGAAATATTGCTTTAGTTGGGTTCTAGAGCAAAAGAGCTGTGCAATAAAAAAAAATGTTTAAAAAATATGGGAGCAAAGTATCGGACTGGGCATGCACAGTACATAAAGAAAACATTCTTTTTTATGAATATTTAATTTTTCTATCACTTTTTATTTTCCCGTTTCATCAAAACTTCCTTTTTATTTATGTACTTAATTTTATTTTAGAAAAAATTTATTTTTTTTTTTGTTGTATTCTGTACAAGTATTATTAATTTTAGTTTTCATAAATTTAAATTTCGGATGAAATCGGTTATTATTTCTATTCACACAATAATATAACAAAACTCCGATTAAATAATCGATAAATTATTCGATTATAAAGACGATAAATATAATCGATACTCAAAAATCGATATCACAATTTTGGAAAAAACAATAACAAACGGATTTTCAATAACAAATTGAAAACCAACCATCGAAAAAAATTTAGATTTAAATATAAAACTTTACAGAAAAACTAAAAAACATTTCAATATTCATATAACGATATTCTTTAAAATTTATCAAATTCAATTTATTATTGATTTAATCCTTAATTCCATCAATAAAAATTGTCCGAATTTTTTAACTGATTTATAATAATTAAGCTATGTTATTTTCCCGTGAAAAATATTCTGCCATCTGGCGATCGGAGTTATCGAAATAGTAAAAATTTTATTTTTGTCGATAAATATCAATGTTGATATATTATATGAAAGTTGAACAAAACATTTTAATTGTATTAAAATTTTATTGAAATTTATCGCAAAATCAAAAAGGAAATATCGATTTTTATTCACAAGAAATAAATATATTAATATCGAATTATGTCGAAAAAAAGAATTAACTTTTTGTAACTAAACTATGATGTGGTTGAAAATTTAAATTTGAAGATTGCGGTCAAAGTTATCGAAAAAAGTTAAAATTTAATAATAATTAGTTTTTATCGATATAAATTGCAAGAATAATAATATCAAAATAAGTAATACAAAGGAAATATTAATAAAAATATTTGTTACAATTTATAGAAATATTCTACAGCTGGCATTTCAGCAGCAAAAAAAATGTAAAAAATGTTAAACAAGCTTTTTTATCGATAAATATTACTATAAAGTTCTTAATTTTATAAATAAAATGCATTTTTGTTATGAGAATCAAAAATTGATTTTTTTAATAGATTCTTAAGCATCATTCTCTGTTATACGGCTGTTCTTAATAAACTATTAAAATTTATCGGAAAACATTTAAAGTAGTATACATCGATTATTATCGATAAATCGTTATTGTGTAGCAAAAAATAAAGGTGTGTGGCCCACAGTCAAAGTTATCGAAAATAGATTCCAAAAATATCGATGTGTATCGATAATTATGAATGTAAATATAGGATTTGTTGAAATTGTATTTGAGTTAATAACTAACGTTGACAATCCTCACGTAAGCATATACATATTTTCAGCTCAAAAATGTACAAAAACATTAATTATTGATTGATAATGGGAAAAAAATCGATATTCTAATAGCAAAATCGATAAAAATAATTATGATATTTAAATTTTAATAACTATTTACTTCACAGAAGGCGTTTGTAGTTATCGAAAACAATCAAAACTATATCGATTTTTATCGATAAATTTTAAGATGTGCTATTATTTCAGTCAAAAAACTAGTTATATTAGAAATTGAAATGTGGATTTTTATAAAATCATTCCCAGCTCCTGCATACTTCTTTTCCACTTCACACACCCATCACATCAAGTCTCCAACCACTATCCACCGCTATTATGCTCTTCAAACCTTTGACCGCCAATTAAATGTCAAATAATAAATTTCCGTCACAATTTCGTGAAAGTTTCTGCAAGTTAGTTGATTGTAAGTCAGCTTTCCCCTACAAATGTTGATAATTTGCTTGTAATTGCTTTTGCAAAATTTTACCACAAACCATTTTGTAATGCTAAGGTTAGCCACTGTACCGTTAGTTGGGCGTGAACCACAAATAAGCTTCAATGTCTCGAACCACAAATGACTGTTTCGTATGATGACTGCACTGTGATGTGCTTTCCCCTAATAAATATATCTTTGTATGAATGTGTGTGTGTGTGTGTGTGTGTGTGTGTGTGTGTGTGTGTGTGTGTGAGTGAGTGGCATTATATTTCAAGTGGCCACATTGATATGCGAGTGTGACCTGTATCTATGTAACTATGTATCTTTGCATGTATATATCTATGTATATGTGTTTGTGTGCCAATAGTTTATGTGGCACATCATCAACATCAGTAACAGCAGCGGCAGCATCACCACCGCCGTCATGTCAGTGCAAATTAATTGGCTAAATTTATATGAAAAGGGACATTTGCCAAAACCATTTTAGATCAATTGGCTACAAAGCGCGCAAAGCATCACCCAATTAAAGCGCCACAGCGTAATTTATGTAAAATATGCTAAAGGGTAATATCATATTAATGAGTGTAAAATAATTGAGCTTTCCGAAATTTAATTTTAATTAATTCTAGTTAAATTATCAAAAATATATAATTGGGCGAAAAACTTTTAAAGGCGTAAAATCATAATAAAAATAGAATTATTTTTAGGTTAAATTTTTTGAAATGAAAAGATTCCGTAAGGGCAGGATAGTTATTTTAACAAAATCATATTGCATGATTTTTATGGTAAAAGCTTTAAATAAAGCTCTTACTAATGAAATTTTAGTCCACGAAGCTTCGAAGGCCAACATTTTGCATTTTCATCGAAAAAAAAATTATTGGCCTTAGATTTTTTAAAAGCTTACTCAAAAGCTTTCGTAGCAAATTATGCTTAAATAATTATGAAGCTTGCTGAAGTAGTTCGTATTGTTTCTATTATATTATTTCCACTTTATTATCATGTTTACTTTTTTATTTTATTTCAGTGCATTAAGAGCTAAAGCTTTATCGTCAGTTAATGTGAAAGCTCTTCAGATAGATAGTTAGCTGCCTGTATTTAATAAAACAAATTGTTAACCAGCTTTGTTAACAAAGCTTTTACGGTTTTTATCAAAAAAGCTGTACCTAGAAATAAAAGCTCTGAAAGGTTAAAGTTAAATTTTTGCGAAAAGTTGTATAGAAATTGTATCAAAGGTTTGTTCGCTCGTGATAGAAATGTTTCAAACTATGTTTTTATAAAAATAATAATTAATTTAAAAAAGTAATATAAGCAGTTATTTATATATATATATTTTTTTAAATTATTTTTCCTTCAGAATATAAACTGAGAAAAAGATTAAAAAAAAACCCTAAAACGAATTCAGTTTCAATAAACTGAACAATTCTCAAAAGCATATTCTGAAGAAATCGTTTAAAGCATTTTGGCGCTGAAAATTTCGGTAGCACAAAATAAAAACTTTTCTTTGAAAAAACGAAAAAAAAACTATAACGAGTTACCAAAAAAAGTTGCATTCAAAGTAGGAGAAAGCTTTTGAAGTTTCACTAAAAGCTCTTGGCAAAGTAGCTTTTGAAGCTTTTTTGCATCTGAAGATTCATATATATTAATAAGTCTAACACTAAGTTCAGCTTATCAACTTTCTTGAAACGCTTTGTTCGTAATCGGTTTTTTCATACTCTTTTCTTTGTTACAGAACTCGAGCCAGCTTTTCCCTATCGTGACGTGACCATCAAACGTGGCGTTGATGCTAACGAGTTATATGAGATTATAAGTGAAGTGGGCAGGTGAGTTATTCTAAAAGAGAGAATAAAATATTTTTTTATTTATTATAGTTTTAAATTTTTTTATTTTGATTTATTTGTAAGGCAAAGCTTTCGTAATTTTTTTTTTTTGTGAAAATGCAATTCCAAACTGTTTTAAATTTGTGTGCTTGAATTTTTTTCTGTGCCCAAAAAAGTAGTTTTATGGCGAAAATTACCCCAAAGGGACAATAAAAATTTGATATTAATGACTATAAAAATTATGTTCCCCTTAAAAAAAAAATATTTGCTATAATTTTACGTGTTAAATTACGCTGAAAAATTTACGCAGCTGCTTTATTATTTATTATGCTATGATTGTAATAGTATTTCATTCTCTAAAAACATTACTAATTTCTGGTATTTTTTATTGCTTTCCTACCGCCACTTCCTATGCAGAGGCAAATTCGGCACAGTCTACAAATGCCAGGAGAAGGAGAATAAACTGAAATTGGCTGCTAAATTTGTGCCCATACCAAAACGTGAAGACCGTCGTAATGTTGAGCGAGAAGTGGAAATCATGAATTCACTGCAACACCATCTCATCATACAATTGTATGCGGCATATGAGTATCAGAAAATGATGTGCGTTGTGCTGGAGTTGTAAGTAGAATTTTTCAGAATTTTTTTTGTTAATTTTTTTTGTTATGCTTTTTTAGATTTCTAGATGCTTTACGATTTGTTTACTTTAATACTAGGAGAAATATTTTGTAACTGAAAATATTTTAGTTATTTTGAATGCCGAAATTCCTCCAGAAACTCTGTAGGAAGAGGGTTTTACGTACACTTTTTCAATTCGTCTCAAGGCAAGACAATGGTAATAATTTAATTTTGAAAGGATTTAATATCAAGCACGTCGTCTGTGGATACTAATTCCTTTCATAACTTACTTATCTGAGATCACGTTTTCGAGCAAAGAACAACTACCGCAAACTGAAATCGTTTCTTATCGAAACTGCTTTAACTTCATAGAAATTAAGCAAAAAGAAAGGTGGACAATTTTTAAATAAAAAATCTAACTTCTGTTTTTGGCATATATATATATATATATATATTATTTTAAAACCTTCTGTAAAAGCTTTTCGAGCTTATTGATAATTTTTTAGAGCTTCCAAGTAGAGAAAGAGTTCAAAATTTTATTTTTTGAAATTTAAAAGTACATGCAACAAATCTAATATATATGTATTTTATTTTACAGTTTATAAAAAAAAAAAGTTTAAAGCGTTTTGAGTTGTTTTTTATAGATTCCAAGCCACAAAACTTTATTTTTAAAATTTAAATACATAACCATCGAATATATATTTTATTACAAAACTTTTTATGAAAACTTGGTGAGCTTTTTCATTAATTTCGTACCAAATTCTTTGCTTTTTTTATTTTTAAATATAATTTTAGAGCTTTTCAATATATCACAAGCTAAAAATTCCTTCAAAATTAGTAAAATTTTGCGTAAGTTTTTTCCTAGTTGACAAGCAAAGAAAGAGTCCACAAATTGTTTTTTTTTAAGGTTATATATATTTAACTCAGCATATATATACATATACTACTTTTCAGATATTAAAAAAAAAAAACTTGTTGAGCTTTCCGAGCTTTTAAATGTACTCCAAACAGCGAAAAAACTAAGAACATTACATTGAATTCTTAAATATTTTTCCAACAAATATATAATATATTTCATTTTAGAGCTTTTAAAAAACTTTTGGAGCTTTTCCATGGATGCCAAGCAGTGAGGGAGAATCAAAATTTTATTCAGTAATTTAAAATGAATTTAAAAAAATAAAAGATGTTTTATAACGGTTTTAGTAAAAGCTTTTTAAGCTTTTTAGAGCTTTCAAGGTAAATAAATATTTACATATTTCAAAGTGCAAAGTGAAAATCATTTTAAGCTGCATTAAATCTAAAAAAAAAAAACATAAAAACGAGCCCCCTTTGAGCTTTCAACTTGCTCATGTTTTTTTCTTTCATAAACACGTCCAAATATTATATGCAACCGCTTGTACGTGTTTGCGCCCGAGGAGTCATTGAAGAAAACTTTTCTAAATGATGCACCTGTGTATAAGAAACCCACCCACACACCATAGAACTAACAGTAAAAGCAAAATTATGTGAAAGAAATAAAAGAAAAAAGTGCAAAAATGTGAAAAAATATTTGCATAACTTTTCAAGAGCTTTCACATACGAACGCACATATTTATACACTCACACAATTATTCATAACAGTAATATTTCTGAAAAAAAAACTTTGTAATGCAAAAATTGAGCAGGTGATGAAGGCAAAAATGTTCAACAAAAAAATGCCAAGAAAATCAAGTGGATTTTCGAATGTGTGCAAATGTTAGCGATAAAAGGATTGCGGATATGACAATAAAAATATGTTTACACGAAAGGAAGAGAGAGAAATACTAAGAGAAAGCGAGGGCGAGTGAAAAATAGAAATTGAATGGCAGTAAAGAAAGTTGCTTAAACGAATATGAATAAAAACTTTTCTTGTAAGAAAAATAAACTTTCAAAGAAAATAAAACCTAATAAAATGTTCGAAGTTATATAAAAGTAAAGTACCGTTAGCAATTGTCAGCATATTTGCCTCAATAGCAAATTGATAGACAGACAAAAGGAAAGCGTAGAAAGCATATTTTTTCAAATTTGTCCGTCATGTCAGTACAAAATTCAACTTTTGGCATTAAAAAGGAGGAAAAAAGCAAACTTATGCACAATGACATATAACGGGTAATAGTAGATACATAAAAAAAATTTAGGAAAACTAGCAAAAAATAACAAGAAGCAGCAAAATCTTTTTGAGGTCATTAAAATATTTTGTGGGTGAAAGTTTTGGCAAAAACCAATATGCGCTAAGTAAAAGATGATTGATTGTGGAAGTAACGGTAAAAAAAAGGTACTTTTTTGAAATAATCATAATTTTTTTATGGGAAAATAATAATCTAGAGCTTTTGAACGAATAGGTAAGAGCAATTTTTTCATCTGATTTTCATATCCTTGTAATAAATGTTTTTTTTTCTTCTTTATATTATGAAAATTATCATTTTTTAAAGCCTTTTTTAATTTATATGAATATTTAAATTAATTTAAATTAATTTCTGAATTTAATATTCAATATTTCAATTTTTATTGTATTTTATTTTATTATCTTTTAATATTGAAGACATTTTATATCTGTTCACTCGTTTTCCTTTGAGAAAAACTCAAACAGGTGGCATCACTTATTAAAAGATTTTTTAGATTATATTCCTTTTTTTTTTGTCTTATAACAATATTAATAATATAAAAAGTTCTTTAAACTGTAAGTTTTTACTATCTATATATCGTTTAAAATTTTGATTTATTTTTTTTTTAATATAATGTTCAAACATCTGGCAATATTTAGAAGAAAAATTTTAAATTTATGCTCCTTATAATTGTTTCATCTGATTTTCATATCCATTAATAAATGTTTTTTACTTCTTTATATCAAAAACTTGGAACAGTTGGCGAATCTCAAAAATAAAATCCGCCTTAAAAATTTAAAAAAAAAATTTTTTTATAAAATATTCATCTACTTTAAATTGTTTCCAATACAAGAAACATTAAATAGGTAGCAAAATATTTCAAAAATAATATCCGTTTTAAAATTATTGAACAATTTTTTTTTATTAAAATGATAAAATATCTGGCAACCATTCGCGAAAATATTGTTTAACAAATTTTTTTAATTTGGTATTCATATGGGAGTATTAAACATATTTTATGAAATATATTTTATTTAGTACTTTATATCGTAAAAACGTTAAACAGGTGGCAACTCTATTTAAAAATTTCTCTCAACAGAAAGTTTCTTTTAACAATCGGCTAACCACAATAAACTTTCAACTAATATTTTAATAAGAATGTTTGAAAAAGGTGGCAACCTTTCACTCACAATTTTTGATATTTGGGCTTTCTAAATTTTTTTATTGGTACTTTGCAGCTTTTGTTAAAAAATAACAAATATGTAATTAATTATAGAATAAAATAAAATGAAATAAATTTTTTTTAAATAAAATTAAGACAAAAAAATAAAAGAAAAAAATTTTTTAAAAATTATTTAACGCAAAAATAAATTTATTTAGACTTTAGTAGACTTAAAAAGCATGTCATAGAAAATAGTGACTTTTACTAAAGAGATATGAGCTGATAATTTATTTGTATTATATCCCCGCATGTATGTTCTATTACGTAACCTCATTCATCTAAATGTACCACTCAGCAAATGCTTGCCGCAAACTTTCAATGAACTTGTTGCCTTCCACACTAAATATACGTATGTAAGTATATGAAAACAGTTTTCTCTACGTTCTAAAAGCTCATTAAAACTACGTTTCCAAGCAACAATTTCTTGCCTCTAAAAGCCACAAATGCAGCTGACAGCGTAAACTGCATGTAGCATACATTTAGGCGCAAGTTTACTAAATAAGCAAAAAAAAGGCAAGAACTTTCAAACTATAATAGATACATATATGCTCACCCATACCTACATATATATGTTTGCTTAACATGCTGCCTAAAACTTGTTTCGCTCGCAGCACAAGTTGTCAAGGTCTACTAATATTTACATGCCTTCCCTATGACTGCAGCTTGCAGAATTAATCAACATTTTGGCACTGCTGCTGAATAGCTTTTATTTTACTCAAACCGAAAATTTTCCTAAAGAACGCTCTCTAAAACAAATATTTATTTTTTTTATTTTTTTTCATTTTTTCCCCCTTTCGAAACAAAGACATACTTCATGTAAACTTTTCGCAAGCAACACCTGAATTCTTACACCTTTATACTGTTGTTTTTGCTATTTTACACACTCATGTCTGGGTATGTAACGACAAGTTTGCTGAAGTGCTGGTAAATTTTGTTATCACCTTAAGTTATCATAAAACATTCTGTATAAACCACAAAAGGCAAAAGCTTGGCTGACAGGTAGTTTGGCAAGGAAGATTGCATGCAACTTCACAATAAAATCAAGTTATTTTTATACAACAACAATTTATTTGTTTGAAAATATACCAATATCTATGAGTGAGGTAATGTGAAATTTATTTTCAAAAATGTCTAGACCATAAAAGTGCATTGCAAAATATGTGTATGTCTAAGGAGAAGGAGATTTGCTGCTCCCAATCACATACATACTCAATACTGTTGTGTGCTTTTAGGCGTTCAGCAAGCTTTTTGTTTCAATAAATGATTTGCAGCTATTCAAAAAAAGCTCACATATTTATTGTATATAAGCATATGTTTGCCACTTTCATGGCATATAAGTTTATGAGTTGTTATCGACACGCCTTAAGTGAAAATCTCAATTAAAATGTTATGTCAGACATTTAAGCTCTTGAAGGCTGCATGGCCACATAATGGAGTTTAAAGCAAATAAATAGGTTTAATAAATTCTGTAATTAATTGTGAGTGTATTGCGGAGATAAACTATTGTTGGCCTATATGAAAACAGATACATAAAAGAAGAATTAAATAAAATAGACAAAAACGACATAAAATCAAAAAATAAAAATAAATATATTCAATTTAGAAATTAATTGATTAAATTAAATAAAACAAATATAAAATAAAAGTAGGCGAAATAGGTGAAATAAAAGAAACCAAATAAAAATTAAATCATATTAAGTTAAATAATATAAAATAAAATAGTTTAAAAATACAATAAAACAATGTTAAACAAAATTAAATAAAATGAAATAAAATGAAATAAAATAAAATAAAATAAAATAAAAATAAAATAAAACAAAATTAAAGAAAATAATTTAAATTAAATTAAAAAGAACAAAATAAAATGATATAAATAAAATAATATAAAGTGAAATAAAATTAGAAAACAAAATGTAATTAGAAAAGTAAAAAATAAAAATATTAAATAAAATCAAAAAATAGAATAACATAAAATAAAAGTATTTTAATTAAATTATATTGAGAAAATATATAACAAATGAAGTAAAATTAAATAAAAAAATGTTAAAATTAAAAAAAAAAAATAAAAATTAAACAACATTAAAAAATAAAATGACATAAAATAAGAGTAATTTAATTAAATTATATTAAGAAAATATAAAATAAATAAAGTAAAATTAAAAAAAAACAAATAAAAATTTATTAAAATTAAATAAATAAAGAAATTGAATTTAATTTAGTTCAATAAAACAATATAAAATAACATAAAGTGAAATTTAATAAAATAAAAGCGATTTAATCAAATGAAAATAAATGAAATTAAATTACATTAATAAAATAAATTAATAAAATAAAATCGAACAAAAAAATAAAAATATTATAATAAAAGAGGATAAAGTTGAACAGATGAATAAAACAAAATTTAACAAAAATATATAAAAAATAAAAATAAAATATAAACAATTGAAAAATAAATATATACATACAAAATATAAAAAGAAAAATAAATCACAATAAAAATATGAAAAAGTTAAATAAATGAAGGTGATTTAAGTAATAAGTAAACTAAACAAAATAGAGTAAATAAAATTTAAAATAAATTAAAATAAATTTAAAAAAAAATGATTTAAATGAATTTAAAAAAAAAAAAAGAAAATTAACCTACTTAAATATTTAATAAAATCTAAACAAAATAAACTAAACAAAAAATATATAGAATTAAATAAAAAAAAGTTAAAATGAGTTAAACCAAAAATATAATAAAATATTAAATATGTAAATTAATATTAAAATTAAATTGTATAATTAAAAATGATTAATTTAAAATATTTAATTTTGTAAAAGTAATATAAAATAAAGTAAAAATTAATTAACCAAAATAAAGTAACATTAAACAAAAAATTGCGATTAATTAAAATAAAGGAAAATTGAATATAATTTTATTTATACACCATAAATTAAAGTAAAGTAACAAAAAATAATTAAAAAATGAATAATTGAAATTTTTTTAAATATTTATGTAATTTATTTTAAGTTTAAATTATTTTTTAGATCAAAAAAAATTATTTAAAATAAACTCTTTTTTTATTCTGCTGTTAACATTTGTTCCCTTCTTCAAATTTTACAGAGTCGAAGGCGGCGAACTATTCGATCGTGTGGTCGATGATGAATTCGTGCTAACCGAACGTGTTTGCGTGGTGTTCATTCGTCAAGTTTGCGAAGCAATGGAATTTATACATCGTAATAATATTTTACATTTAGACTTGAAGCCCGAAAATATTTTATGCCTCACGCAGGAGGGCAATCGTATAAAAGTCATAGATTTTGGTTTAGCGCGTAAATATGATCCCAATAAGCGTTTGCAGGTAATAAATTTACAAATTTTTTAATTCAATTAAATTATTAGTTTACTATGAGAAAATTATGAAATTTTTTCGCTGCTGAGTCGGTTTAAATTTCTAAATCTTCTTCGCTTATCTCACATATGTAAACGCGTTTTTATACTGCCACCTCTGTTTTGCTTTTATTTCGCTTGAATTTTAATGCTAAATAGTTAGTTTGTAATTATTTCATTTATTCATTGTATTCTTCTCTCATTTCCGTCTCTTTCTCTGCATAGATTCTCTTTGGCACACCCGAATTTGTTGCACCCGAGGTTGTGAATTTCGATTGTATTTCTTATGCGACGGATATGTGGAGTGTCGGTGTGATTTGTTATGTGCTGTAAGTGAAGTTATTTATTTCGAAAATAATTACTTTCTCATGTATTTAAGTATATAGAGCACATATAAGAGCTTACTTTGATCAAATAGCAGAGTCTATCCTTTGACTTCTTAATGAAATTGTTCAGGAAGTTATTTTTACTTTGAATTTAGCAATAATATTGGAGGCAAGTTGGGTTTCGGAAGACTTGGAAAATTAATTAAAAAAGTTTTTGGTTTTTTGTTTGAAAACTAATTTGCTTAATGCTAATATAACGAAACAAATAGAAAAATAAATTCAATTAACGAAAAATGTTATAAAAAAAATTAGCAAAAAAACAAGTAAAATAAAAGTGCAAAATAAAAAAAAGAAATAAAAGTGAAAAAAATTAATTAAAATGAAATTAAATAAAACTGAAGAATATTAAGAAAAAATTAAAAATAATTAAAATTAAAATAAAATAAATAAGCAAAATAAAAGAAAATAAAAAGAAAATTAAATTAAAAAAATTAAAATTAAATTAAATTAAAAAAAAAAAATATCTCAGAAAAATGTATTCAGTTAATTTGATTAAAATAATATTAAAATTATTTTCAAAGTTAAAAAAAAATATTTTAATTAATTTTTTGCTCAATAATAATATAATTGCTCAGTTAATTTGATTAAAATAATATTAAAATTATTTTGAAAGTCAAAAAAAATTATTTTAATTTATTTTTTCTTCAAAAAAAAATTTTTTTTTCTAAAAAAATATTTCTTATATCAATACAATTATTTCGCCGCATTTTATATCTGAGCTTCTTTAATCTTTTCACAGCATCTCAGGTCTCTCACCGTTTATGGGTGAAACAGATATTGAAACTATGGCAAATGTTACCATTGCCAAGTATGACTTCGAAGATGAGTCCTTTAGTAATGTATCACCGGAATGTTTGGACTTTATAGGAAAGCTATTGGTAAAGGATTTGACGTGAGTATAAATATGTTAAAATTAATATTAAAAAAAGTGAATCCTGAGAAAAATTTCACAATAAAAAATCTTTTGTAAATTTTATTTTTTAAAAATTCAACAAAAAAAATTTATTTTTAGCAAAAAAAAATTCTTAAAAAAATATTTAAAAAAAAATTTTTTCAACAAAATTTAATTTGAAAAAGTCTTCAAACCCCTTTATTTTTCAAAAAATAAATTATTTAAATTTTTAAAAAGTTAATTATTTTAAAAATTTATATACAGAACAGAATTTGACATTTTGTAGTATTTGAACTTTCCTACGCCATCTCATTCCAACTTATGCGACCTTCGGTGTACTCAGTTCATCCGACAGCCGCGAAATGGGCAGGCGCTTAAAATCAAAAAACATTTTATTTCCCAGCTTTTGATATCTTCATGAATAAAATGAACTGATTAGTTGGAGCAGGAGTGCTCTTCGGCATGACCCCGTTTCTAGGGCTTACTAAAACTGCCCTCTCCCGTAGAGCTTACCAAGGTTATGCTATCAACATCCGAGTCATCGCTCACCGTGCGCTAATGGACTTTAATGGAAGACCTCCAAGACGCGCTCATCTTCTGCTTTTTGGCCTAGTCGTTCTGGTTTTCATTGAGTTTTTATCTTGCTTCTATGACCAAATGCCCGTCAAAGGGAACCCAGAGGGCATGGTACATAGTCCACTCTTCACTCGCAAGGTGGCGAGGCTTGGCCGGTGTTCTCCAAAATTGTATGACAGATAAGGTCGGAGCTACAGTTATCCATGCAGCTGAAGACGAAGTCACACCTCTCAAGAACAATACAGTCTTCCACGCTGGAGACGACCAAGAGTCTAGACCAGCTGATACTTATTTTAAGGAGGGTTTTCTGTTAAAATTATATTGGTCCGGGTTTCGATATTCTCACTGACAAGACAAAGAAATATGGTTGCTAACTGCGAAAGTCGAATCGTCGCACTAGAATTCAACCTCGCTGCTAGACTTTCTTCTTCACTTATTGATCTAGAAAAATGAGCCCACTTACACTTTTTCAACCATATCTACTGGTTCTCAGCACATCTCTTTCTGGTTAGAACTAACTTTGCAAAACTCTGACCGTCAATTTTACCACTTTACGAAGACATCTCTTTAAATAGAGCCTCGAGGAGTCCCAAAAAAGCAGAAGTACCTAGGACACGGTGGCAGGCATGATTAAAGCTGCTACTTTTGTGGACGTTCGGCTTGAAATCGCGAGTTCGTCTTCATCACTTTAGTTTCTTAGATATTTGAAGCTTTCAAAGCTCTTTAACCAACTATAAGAATTTATAAATGGGACTCTAACGAACCAGCTTTGGGCCGGCTCTCGGTTTGTCACTCTACTCTCGGACTAACCTCAAGTCACGCAACAAATCAACAAGCCGATGCTTGTGATGCGATGCTATAAAACATCCCAAAAGAATAAACGAAAGTCGTTTTGCTTTCATCGGGTCTCTTTTTAGCTTATTTTTGCATGGAAAATCGAAAGAAAGCGTTTTAAAAATTATAATAAATTTAAAAATTATTAATTCAATGTATACGGTTCTAAATTCAACTTTCTCTCTCTCTCTCTCACTCTCTTCCACTCTCCCCGCCAACAGCACCCGCATGACTGCCGCACAATGCCTGGAACACAAATGGCTGCAGCGACGACCCAATCCGCCAAAAATACACGCACCAAAACCATCAAATGTGCCGCCACCAAAATTAAAAGCGGCCACACCTTCACCGGTGCCACCAGAAGTGGTGGAAGAAGAAGAAACGAAAGCAGCAGTGGCAGTGGCGAACGTGGAACCACAAAAAACCAAAGAAACTGTAGAGGAAGCGAGAAAGGGTGAAAAGGTGGCAACAAAAGAAGCAGTTGTGAAACCAACGGACAAGAACACGACGGAGGTGAGTGAAAGATAGCTGTGAAATGCGCATATTGCATAACATAACAACAATCACACCGGCACGTCAGCCCAAAAGCCAAAACGCAAATTTACCAAATTAATTAATCCAACTCTGTGGCGTTGGCTGATTACTGTTTTTCCTTTCTTTCTTTCATTCTCTCTTTGGAAGAGTTTTTGATTAGAAGACGAGTTTGCCACACACCCACACTGACATATATATATACATATCCCCTAACGCTGCAATTCAACTCAGCTACGCTCAGCTCACCTGCTTATCACTTAACCGACGTTGCTTTTCTTTATTTCGCTCGCAAGCAATTCGTGCATTTCCACTTTTGCTCACTTCAATTTAAAACTAATTAGATCTTTCCCACCCCCGCTCCGGGTTTCAATTACTTAATTTCATTACGTTGCGCTCTCCCCTGCCGCTCACGTAATGTGTATGCTCGCAGCTACTTTGTCGCTTTCAATATGCAAAAATTTTAATTTTCTTCACGCGATTTTGATTTCAAAATTGTCTCTGAGCTATTTTTTAGCTCGAGGGGTGGGGGGCGAGGAAAAATGGTTGCGCTCCTTTATCGCTCTATGTACCGTTACATAAAGTACAAGCTAATGATCTAATTTAACATCAGAGTATTACAAATTAAGAAGTTTGTGATTAAAAATTGTGAGAAAAATCTGTAGGGGAGATTGCTCGCTGGAATACCAAGCATAAGTTGGTTAAATCGTTTCGCAGTCAAATTGGCTTTACCAAAGTCTTTATGGATCGTCCTTTCACTAATTAAACTCTCACTTCACACTCACCTGCACACAAAGAGGGGACAATTTTTTTCGGCAGAAATCAGTTCTTTCTAAGTTTGATGACGAGGCTGGAGCCAGCGTAGGATACTTCTTGTGACCAATCGGAAATCCACCTCAAGTTATGTTGGCTTAATTGTAAGCAATAAAAGAGAAGAAGAAACTTGTTAGTTCCTAAAAGTAGCGCCACAACTGGCTGAGCCTCTTCCCAAAAACACTTGCCGTTAAGTTTGGGACTTGCACATAGCGATTATCCTTCGAGCTTCTCCTCCAAGTTGAAGTGTGTATATTGAGATTTGTTTAAACAAATGGAGGCATCTAAATCCTAGGGCGTCTTCGAACAGCTGATGGATTTTTATGAGAAACTTTTGCTGTATTGTATTTCAAGTCATAAACGCACTCGTATGGCTGGCGCATCCTACTGAGGAATGGTCACTTAAAAAAAAGTTTTATTTCTAGATGTTGGTCTAGTCAAGATTCGAATCAATGTCCCGCTATATACATAGTATGTCCACATTGCTACCCAGTCGGCTTTACCATAAGTTTGGTTAAAGCTTAAGACTTAGACACTTTAATCTGAAGGCGGTGTGGGCCGAGCTGGTTCCCTCTCTATATTCTGAAAATGCGGTGCAGTTCATTCAAAACTGCAGTTCAAAGAAGCTGAGTGTCTACAACTTGATCCTCCGATGCTAATTGAATTTATGCAGCTCTGTCTTCGAGTTCTGAGAATGAAGTTTGGATGGAACACAGATGAAAAGCTAAGCTTCCTTGTCGAAAAGTTTTCATTCCCTACATACAAATTTTCCCGTTGTCATGGACAGATAAAGTACAAGAGATCTTGTTTTTAATGAATGAACTCTCGCTGTATAACACGTTCTATGTTGGATACCTTACTTCTTGGACAGATGAAGTAGAAGCGGTGACGCTCCACAACAAATAACATTCGTTTTGCAACTTTTACTGATACTTTTCGCCGATAGTAGAAATCAAACTCCAATCCGTTCGCTTAAGACTGGAGTTTTAAGTCTAAACTTAGATGTAATTTTGTTGCGAGAGTCGCCATGAGAGAGTTATGAAGACCGCACCTCCTTTGAAGTAGTAAGCTTTTGAGTCGTAATCTGCCTTCAGTTCTGAGTGAATTATTATAATCCTTCCTGTAAACGCAAAATACTATTCACCGGACTTTCACCAGAATCGTTATCATCGGAATACTTGTTCCTGATGATGTTATTAAACAGTTTTCTATCCTATGCTGTACCCTGTCTTTGCTTAACTTGCTTTTCCACAAATTGCAATGTTGCCAATTTTCGTCGCTTCAACAGTCTATTTATGGAAATTTCTGCTTTCCAAAAAGCAAAGAGCTAAATCTCACTTTGGCCTGTTTGTTTTTGTTTCTTATAAAGAAAAAAATTTTGTTTAACAATGTTGCCAATTTTTATACATGTGTAAATGTTTTTTATTTCCTAAATTGATTGACTTTTAGTGAGAAATGGTAGAGTTCTGCCTAAATTTTTTTCCACGCCTTGCAAAGTTGACAATTTTTTTAGCTTTACATGTAGTGTACTACGATTTGCACTGTTGCCAATTTTCACTACCTCAAACAATTTTGTTATTTAATTGCTTACTACGTCCACGCCTTATAACTAGCTTTGCGGTTTAATCTCTCTGTGTCAAGTTTTCATATTCTCTGTATGCTCATATATAATGTATTTAAAGGAACTTCAACCTCTAGTAAGTTTGTTATATAACCCTTAGGCTTCACTTTATACTACTTTTGGTGTTTCAGCATTACCCTCTCTCTGTGCTGTGCATCCCCATTACGCAAATCGCAATGTTGCCTATTTTCTACACTTTCAATTTTCTATTTTAGAGAATGCTTTCGCCTCTTCAGATGATTTTCTGGCTGCATGCCCTCACTATAGTCTTCGTATTTTATCTTCTACAACTACACTACATTTCGCAACGTTGCCAATTTTCATTACTGTTTGTATTTACTTTCAGAGCAAAGAGCTCGACACCACCAAGGACAATTTGAAACATTTCATCGAACGTTGGGAGGAACATCCAAATAGTCCATACGTATTCGATGTTGAGAGTAATGTGATTGCACCGCTAAGTGAGACATCATTCACTAAGACACACGGCCCGGAGAGCATTTCATCGTCACGAGGTGAGTACTGCCGTCGGAGAGTGCGGCAGCGGCAGCAACAACAGCTTATTTTTGGCAAATGAAGAAAATAGAAAACAGAGAACGGGAATGCTAAATGTTGTATTTATTTAAAAACAAAAACTATGTTAAATGTTTACTAAAAAAAAATTCATATTTTTATAAATTGTTTTTGAAGAATTTTTTATGTTAAGTTTTTTTTTTCATACATAAAAAAGACAATATAATTTTTTTAAGTATTATATTTTTCAAAAAATAGTACAAACATTGTTTTGAGAAATATTTGCATTGAGTTAAAATTTAAAAAAAAAAAATATTTTATACAAAAAACTTCTCTGAATGCCTTTTAACATCCAAATCTTTACGTTTGCTCTTAATTTTTCGTGCTAAATATAATACTATATATAATAACAAATATGTTTGTAAGTGTATTAGTTTTTAAGTGTGACTAATCAATTTATAACATTTATTTACAAAAAAAAAAAAACAAATTACAATTTACACAAGCAAACTTACGCTAATATATACATATGTATGTATGTCATTAATTATAAATATATTTCTTCTACTGTGATACACAACCAAAGAAAGAAAGATAAATACATGAACAGAATTTAAAGAAACCCGAAAGTACAGTTTTTTGTTTGAAAATAATATTCATCGATTCGATGAAATATGTAATAACAGAACAAAAATAGGAGTAGAAGTTGATTTAATACATAAGATGAGAGAAAAGCTCATTGTTGTATATAATATAAAATATTCATCGCTTCGATGAAATTTCGATTTTTATGTGTAAACTTACAAAAATACATATTTATACCAATCACAATGTGGTTAAATTAGGATTTCTCGTTAAAAAAATGAAGATTCATCCATTCGATGAATTTTGCAAAAACCTCAAATTTTGCACATGAACTACTATGTATTAATTAAAAACTTTTTGAGTAAAATATTAGAATGATTTAATGCATTTTACGGGAATTATACATCACCACAGTATACGGCCACATAAGTAAATACATATGTACATACATATCACACAGCACAATTGGCTTGGTTTGCCCGATGGAGCGGCTTAAGTAGCAACCAGGTAAGAGCAACGGCTATTAGGTATTGCAATTGCAAGTTGTGCAACATTTATGCATCGTACATATTAAAACATCAACAAGGACACTTACAAACTTCTCTTTGGGTGGAATATAAAAAACACTGTAACTAAAAAATGCAGAAATCATAATTATGTATAATCTCTATAAATATTATTGTGAGCTCATCAATTAAATAAAATACATTTTTCATCCATGCGATGAATTACGGGTTTTGTCGTTAATCATCACTTTTACCAAAAAAATATTAGGAAACTCATTCAGTTTTTTTAAATAATCTGCCTTTTTCGTCCATTCGAGGTGTCTCATAAATTTCATTCAAATTTTTACATGAACATTTTAGTTGAGTTCATGTATAACTTCAAGTTGCATAGTTAGTTTAACACAAACTAATACGGTTTTTCATACACTGGTTGTTTTTCGTCCAATAGATGTACACAATTTTTTTCATAACCTGCGAATGCATGCACAGAAATAAAAATTGAGCATTTTCGCAAACTTTTTCTTGTTCATCCAATGGATGTATGAACGTATTTACAGTTTATCGTACTCAAATTTCATGAAATTAATGCACGCAACCAATACCTTTAGATTCTATGGTTTTCGTCGATTGGATGAATGGGCAACCTACGCATGCCCAAGCTCATAAATTCCAAATTAATTTTGTAGTAATAACATCATCGGCTTTATGAAATTTGCTTTGCTTCTGCGCACATAAAAAAGTTCACACTTCTCTTGTACGACATTCTTAATTTAACCCTCTATTTTTCTCTCTGTCTCTTCGTAGTTTGCTCGCCCTCGCCGTGCGAGTCCATTGAAACCATAATCGACGACGATGTCTTCAGCAGCCCCGAACAGGACAATGACAGTCCCAGCACACTAGCCACACCGATAAATGAGTCACGCGAAAAACTCTTCCCCAGCAGCGCGTCGTTGTCGTACACAGCCGGCGGTATAACACCGACTAGCACTACGCCTACACCACAGCCGCCACTACAGTACGGACCACAACATCTACTCGGTCGACGCGGCTATGGTGACGATCTCAGCGGCAGCAGCACAAATCTCAATCAGCAAGAGCGAAGCATGAAGAGCTATCTGCACACCTTCGATCGACGCAACTCCGATACGAGTTATTTGCTGGGACGGCGCGCTTCTGGCGAGCGTGTGAATTTGGCCGATGAAATACGTAAACTATCCGATCATTTGCTCATGTTGGCGGAGATCAACACCAAACTCGGCAGTGAGGTCAAGTTGGAGGCGGACTCGAACAATAATAAACAAGCAAAGAAAACGAAAGCAGGCGGCAGCGGCGGGGAGACGTCTAAAGGAAAAGCGCATGCGGCGCCTAAAGAAACTTCGTCTACAACAACCAAAAAGACAGTGACTACAAGTAAAGACAAAAGCGTTAAGTCCGAAAGTAGTGAGTCCACAAAAGTGTCTGGCAATGCAACGACCACAACAACGACAACCACAAGCAGCACAACAACAAACAAGTCCAATGCGAATGGTGTGCGCTCAAAATTCAGCACAGTCTCCATGCGTTTGCAGCAATCGATCGAAGAGACACCAAAGCTGACTAACGGCGGTCCGAGCTTTGGTGTGCCGTGGAAATCTAATATAACGACCACAAAATCCAGCAGGAAAAGCATCACTACGGCAGCCGCAAAGGAAGACAGCGCCACCCAACGACACGCACACGAGTCGGCAAGCGTACGGCGTGCCAAATTTCGTATCAATCAAATGTCACGCGATGTGCCGATCGGCGTGCCGAACATTCACCAAGCGGTCAACCTTGAAGAGGCGGCGAACACCACCAAAGATTGTCTGCTGCATCTGCTGGAGAAATATAATGAGACGAACAAGTGTCGCAATCCGATGGCGCGTCATCAGAGCATCAGCGTCGATTGGAATATGAGTGATAATCTGGAATACCGCTCCATGAGCTCCATCAATGCGTTCTTTCAGCGTCACAACAATACCGGCGAGAATGTACGCCAACTGCAGGCGCAATTGGAGAGTAAGACCAGTTCGCCGGGAAGTGCCAAATGAGTTGGTGGTGCGCAGGGACGCTGAGGTCTTACGGAGTCGACCTTAACTCTTGCGCAGCAGCGGCTGTTTCTAGTCTTCGCAAACTTTTGCTTTATTTTATTTAAAAAAAAAACATGACGAGATTAATTAATTTATGTTTCTTTCTCTTTGTTAAGCTCTTGTTTAACTCATAAAATATTTAATTTAATATTATAAATTCAATTATTATTCTATGTAAATTTATTAGTAAATTATTATCGAAATAAATACGTGCCCAAAGAAATTGAAATTCGAACTTTAAAGTAATGAGTGCCCAGGCGCATCTCACCTATATATTGGTAAGTCTCCTTCTCGAGAGCTCAGAAGCTCCGGCTTTCCAATTACTGGCGAATAGATTTTGCCTAGACAAGGTCAAAGAATCAGAGTGTGTAAACGAGGACGCGACATCGAAATGAGGAGATCGACGCGTAGAGTGAAGGAGCGTCGCCCTCAAGCGATAGCCGAGTATCGAAATAAGTAAGTCCAGGCAAAACGTAGGAGAACGCCAAATCAGCTGGTAATAGGACGCCAGAAGATGTGACAGAGCTTCGAAATGACTTGAAGCGTGCCAGAGCGGTGGTAGTAAGCAGCAAATCGCCACTAGCAAGTCGCTTCGTCTTTGTTGCCAACCTCAGTGCACCTTTCGTACGACCTGCTCATTCAACTGGGGTTTGAGCCTGAATTGGGTATTTGCCTGAACTCCTGATACATCGCACATTTAATACCACAGTCACAATTTTCGGCTCAAGTCTATACCGAACGAAGTCATCGTACTCATCTTGACTGATTAACGAAAGCCTATAACCCACAACTAAACTTGCCGGTTCTTGCAAGACGCCGTGTTTGTGGTCACAATGATTTTGAGTAACACAGCTCTGGTTATTAGAAGACTCGAAGCATGCGGAACAGACGTTGAGTAGGTAGGTCAGTCTCGAGACTGGTTAGGTAAGAGTTTTAGCTAATAAATTATTCAAAGCCCGAGCTTTTCGCCCTTAATAGGGGGAGGCTTGAATTTTAATAACAGCATTCTGCGGGAAAACGATTTGGCCATTGATCGAAGGGAACTGTCGCCACTTCTTCTAAACAAGACCTCCTTGAACATGACAACCGACAAAATAACCGAACACTGGCTGATAAGGCCTCAGGTAGAAGAATGTGTTTTTCTCTAAAGACTTTTGCAGCAGCTACCGGGATTGTATTCAGTGGAATATTACTTCAGTCATTACCCAGGCCTCGTCGTTTTCTTAGGTATACTACGGATTAGTTCTAACCACCTCAATAACACGTGATGTGCGTATTCAACCCCACACGTTAATAGAATTCCTCGATGTAAGGTAAATAAACTGATCGACTATACACCAAACTGGCGTAGACACCCTCAGCTGTGAGCATTTTTAGTTAGGTGGAGTCGTTGTGATATCCCAATTGGGAACTACTTCGGCTTGTGCGGTTGTTGAAGACTAATTGGCAAAGCCAACCGAATACTGGTTATAGCTAGTAAATGTTTTTAAACGGAAGAACGGAGAAGAGCAAGTAGTTGAGTGTGGTAAATTTAAGAGATTTTTGTGCTATGATAACCAGACCTTGATCACAACAAGATTACGCTGAACTCTCGAGGCAGCTAGTTCACCTCTTCGAGTCCGCCGGTCCCTAATATCAGTTAGCGCTACAAACTGTGATGAATTCCCACAAAACCAGTTCGGTTTCGACTGAGGTCATGGATTATCTAGTTCATTATAATATTTAGTGCGGTGCTCTGAGCTCGAATGCTGGGCTCAGATAACAGATGAAAATTGAAAGCGGCAAGGTTTCTCCAGTCTGCAAGAAGATATACCGGACGTTGCTCAACATTCGATAGCGAGTTGTCCTTAACTTTGGGCAATGGAATCATTCAAATTCAGTATCCACTTGGCGGGTATGACTGGAGAGATCATGGAAAAGTTCAAGACCTTGCTGAGAAAGTCGGAGCAAAGATGTTTCTTCGCGCATCAACGTGCTTAAGCATTCGATATAGATTCATTTGCAGTGCCTTGCTTTCTCCAAGTTCTCCACAAGTCTCTACACTGTTGAAATCAAGTGTCACACTTCTGTTTGGCAGTTTGCGCTGAAGGTGGGTGACTTGTTCGACTAAAAGAGAGTGAAATTTGAGCAGTCGCGCACTTATTTGACTCCGCCGAGGCATAGTCTCCGAAAGAGGATCGTCATATCTCATCTTTAGACAAAGTTTTGAGAATCGCTTCTAAAAGTAGAGCGTACACTGGCAGGTGGTGGCTGAGCTTCTGTGCCAATTTGTGTTGTGCGTCTCGTTTTATTTTTCCTATAAAAGAAGAAAATCTTCAAATTTCTTCGAATGAGATATTGATGGCGCCTGTGGAGAGGAGATCACCTTTGGAAGTAACTTTTGCCCGCCAACTCGCAGCACACACTACCACAGCTTTCACAGAGATGCACATATAAACAATTAAAAGATTTTTTTTTGCGTTTTTATAATTTTATATTTTTGCATTTATTTTGTTTTTGTATTTATTGTTTAATTATTATTTTTTATAAAAGTATGTATGTGTATGTATGTATGTATGTATTGTAATATAACCACTAAATATACAAATTAAAACTAAATTCTTAGAAATATTGTACATAGGCAGATTTGTTTGTAAGAAGAATTGAAATCGTAATTAATAAAAAATAAAAAAACGTATTTCAAAAAAAGTTGTACTTCGTAAGACGCGACAGAGGCACAGCCTCAAATGGGAAAGTGCACATAAATTGCACACTTAACCACTCATCTTGGGTGTGTGTGTTTATATTATAAATGTAAATATTTGTTATCAAATAAAAATCGAAAAGCCACACAAACTTTAAAAAAAAAACTGAATTTCCTAACAGTTTGAGTGGCCTTAGATTTTTTTCAATTACTTAATCTAATTATGTAATTCGAAAAGTTTTTTGAAAAAGTAATTAGCAAAACAAGGTTAGTAAAAAAAAAATAAACGTGCTTTCTTTCAATTGCAGGCAACAAGCAGTAGCAGCATGCAGCAAGCTTTTAAACAATTTTTTTTTTTTTTTGTAATTTTATTATTTTATTTATTTGTTTATTATTTTTTTGTGAAAAAACTAGCCCTACACGCTTGCCCTGTACATTATAGTACGCACTGGGTATGTTAGTTTTGTTGATATTATCAATATTTTAAAGTAAAAATACCCAGATGTTAGTGCTTACAATTTAGCATAATTTTAGGCGCAAAAGGGTATTTGTGTAATAATTTGTACTTTGTTTAAGGAATAAGTATGTGTGTAGTATTATGTAGTGAATGATTCGGAAATTATGAACTTTATGAAAACGATATTTATGAAAACAAAATTTATGAAAATTAAATTTTTTCGAATATTATTTTTTTTTAAATCCAGCTTTCTTCAAAAATCAAAATTTTTGGAACCACAAATTTTTGAATATTAAAATTTTTTCAAATTTTTATAACTTATATCGTAAATCAATGTTTTTAAAATTAAAGATTTCGAATATTGAAATATTTTTGAAAATCAAAATTAAGGAAAATTGATATTTATGAAAATTTGAAAATAATGAAAATCAAAATTTACGAAAAGCGCGAGTTTTTATTCACTAACTCTAAATTTTTGTAACTCGAAATTTAAAAAGAGCAATATTAATGAAAATGAAAGCTAGGAGTAATCGAAGTTTTGAAATTCGAAACTTATGAAAATTAAATTAATGAAAATCAAAATCATGAAACTTATCACGGGCAAAAATTAATGAGAATATAAATTTAAGAAAATCTATATTTATGGAAATACAAATTTTTGAAAATACAAATTTTTGAAAATTCAAATTTCTGAGTATACAAATTTTTGAAAATTCAAATACAGAAAATTCAAATTTTGAAATATCCAAACTTTGAAACATCCAAATTTTTGAAAATCCAATTTTTGAAAATTCAAATTTTGAAAATCCAAACTTTGAAAAATCCAAATTTTGAACACTCCAAATTTAAGAAACTCCAATATTTTGAAAATCCAAATTTTTGAAAATCCAAATTTTTGAAAATCCAAATTTTTGAAAATTCAAATTTTTGAAAATCCAAACTTTGAAAAATCCAAATTTTTGAAAATCCAATTTTTGAAAATCAAAATTTATGAAAATTCAAATTCTTGAAAAAACAAATTTATGAAAATCCAAATACCGAAAATTCAAATTTTTGAAAATCAAAATTTTTGAAAATCAAAATTTTTGACAACCAAAATTTTTGACAACCAAGACTTTTGAAAATCAAAATTCATGAAAATCAAAACTTTTGAAACACCATATTTTTGAAAATCCAAACTTGTGAAAATTCAAATTTTTTTTTTAATCTAAATTTTCAATTTCAAATTTTAAAAACCATAATTTAAGAAAAAAAAAATTAATGAAAATATGAATTTAATAAAATCAACATTCTTAAAATGAAACAAAAATTCTTGAAAACCGAAAATTTTGAATTTCGAAATTTTCAAAATTTATTCTATTGAAATATTAAATTTTTTCGAAAAGCGAATATTTTTGAAAATCGTGTGACAGGCATTGTTTTGTTGTAATTATACAGTTCTTTAATGCTTTCAAAGCTTTTTGCATTAAAAATTGCATGTTTTTACTGAATTTATTTTTTCAAAAACACAAAATACATTGAATTTAGCGCTTTTTAATATTTGAAAAACCATCAAAAAGCGGTAAATGCAACGTATTACAAAAATGCTGTAGTTTACAAATATACAAACAATGCCTGACAGCGATTTCAGCTAATTTTGTATGCACGTTACAATTTCGACAGTTGAAGTGTTGTCAAAAAGTGTTTTTGAAATAAATATTGCAGTTTTTGAAAAGTCTTGCTACGAAAATAACGTTTTTCAGACAAATTTTGGCATTTTAAAAAGTGCAATATTTAATTTTTTCTTACAAAAAATATTTCAAACTATTCATTTTATACAAATTGATAGTTGATACAAAAAAAAAAAATAATATTTAGTGGTTAATTTTGTACGAAATTATGGCGTATATATGTATTCATAGCTATTTGTGTATATAAGTGTGTCTATGTGTTTCATTACAGTGTGTGCATGTGTTCATTTAAGAGTTGTTTATATGTATGTGTGCTTTTTTTTAACGATGATGATTTTGATGTTTTACAATTTGGGTAAATATGTATATATGTATGTACATAAATGGGTCCAGCACTTTCGTACAACTTAAGAAATAAAATTAAAAAAAAAATAAAATAAATATATATATATATTTTTAACGGTAGTTAGTTAGTAGCTATGTTTAAGAATTCTTTATGGTTTTTATCTGTTCTTTTCTGAATTTGTTCGTCTTACAAAAGTAACAAAATGAAACTTAAACGTCTAAGTAGCATGTATTTTTGTTGTGCAGCGGATTATTTCAATTTAAATTAACATTTGTTTATGAAAAGAAAAATTCGAAAAAATGCAAAAATATTTTCATCGAACTGCAGTGTCAAAAAAAAAAAAATGTTTTTATCTCTGTTGAATTTTTTCAGTTTTCATCAACAACAAAAATGTATTTAATTTTGTTTATGGCAATTTCATCAATTTTATACGAAAGTAAAGTATTACACACAACTAATATGTATTTTTATGTAAGTATTAGCTTATCAATGTACGCTAATAAATATATACTAAAAATATATATATGTATATATTTAAAGCATTTGCATTTTAAGTAACTAATTGCTATTTATACGTGATATATATAGTATAGCTAAGCCTATTTATTATATATGTATGTATACTATATATAGACTATCTATATAGTTAATTATATACTAATTATATGTATATTTATTTATTTGTTTTTCTTTATGTTTTTTTTTTCTTCTTTTTGTTGTTTTCTTTGCATTGCACAGCTTAATTATTGCGTTGAAAACTTCGTTGCAGTGAAAAATGTGCGCTAATGCTATACGCATGCGCGCTGTGGCTATTACTACTGCTGCTGCCGGAGCTGGTGCGCGCACGCTTAGCGGCAGGTGAGACCTTTTTCGGCGTTTGGGCGAGACGTTTGCGCTCTTTCATGTATTCTAAAAGAGTGAAGGAAAATATTTATTAAAAAAAATCTTTAAAAATTATTTAAAATTAAAAAGAAAATATTAAATAAATTTAGTTGCATAAAAAATCCTGTTTTTGAACACGAAAAAATCTTATAAACGCAAATATTTTGTAGAAAAACTAATTTTTGTGTAATTCTTTTACAAAAACAAATCCTTTCTCAAACTACTCATATTACACGCCTAACACCTTAGAAAGCCGCAGAAAGAAACAAGCAAACAAAATAAATTTTTCAAAAACACAAAAGAAACCATTGTCGACTATATACTGTTATCTAAACGAGTTCTTGAGTGCATTTAAAACCACTATTTACACATATAAAAAGTCAACGAAATATCTCCAGTTTATCTTTAAAAATAAACAAAATTCACTATAAAACGTTTAGAAAAGTAAATATAAACGAAAGTGAAAACCAAAACAAAATAAAAGAGAGTAAATACTCGCAGCAATGAGCACAAGGTCCTTTTTAGCAGTGCATTACCCTTAAAAGGGCACAAAGTCAAGCGTAGCAAGAGAAAAAAAAACAAAATTGGCGAGTATTATTGAAGGCAATGCATGTATGTATGTATGCATTCGTGTAGGTATAGTATATATTCGGTGTGCGTTGATTTAACAAAAGATCAGCAAGCAGTGAAGGTAAGGGCAAATAAGGTAGCAACGATATGTGGCACGTGACTGGCAGGCGGTCCAGCGGTGTTGAACTGCAACGCTTAGAACTAGAAGTTAACGAACAAATGTGCGCAGCTAGATGTGGCAGCGGCGTAATTTTGCTTGTCTTCACTGGCCCGCTAACAATTAAGATGTGTAAATGAAGGAAAAAGGTGAATAGGTAAAGGACGACTAAAAACAGGAGTAGGGCGCAACAACAAATATAACAACAAGGACAATGCAAGTCGTCAGCGTCGTGTTGGAAAGTAAATTTGAGAAGAGAAAAGTATCTGCAAGCGAAAATGAGTGTAAAAATGCTGGAAAAAAAAGAATTAAATAAATTAAAAAAATTACTAAAAAAAAAATGAATAATTGGAAAAAATTAGAAAAAAATAATAATAAATAATAATAATAAATAATAATAATAAATAATAATAATAAAAAATAATAATAAAAAAAAAATAATAAAAAAAATAATAAAAAAAAATAATAAAAAAAAGAATAAAAAAATAATAAAAAAAAATAAAAAAAAATAATAAAAAAATAATAAAAAAAAAAATAATAAAAAAAATAATTAAAAAAACAATAAAAAAATATACAAAAAAAATATAAAAAAATATAAAAAAATATCAAAATAAAAATATAAAAATAAAAATATAAAAATAAAAATATAAAATAAAAAAAATTAAAAACAATATAAAATAAAAAAAATTAAAAAACAACATAAAAAAAATATAAATAAAAAATAAAAAAAGTAAAAAGAAATAAAAAACAATATAAAATAAAAAAATATAAAATTAAAAATCATATATAAAAACAAAATAACTAAAAGCAATAAAATTAAAAATTTCAATAAAGAAATATTAAATAAAATAAAAATAAATAAAAAGGATTAAATAAAAAAAATTAAATAATAAAAAAATTAAACAATAAAAAATAAATAAATAGAATTAAATAAATAATATAATAATATAAAAATAAATAATATAATAATATAAAAATAAATAATATATTAATATAAAAATAAATAATATAACAATATAAAAATAAATAATATAATAATATAAAAATGAGTTAGGTAAGAAATTTAAAGAAATTGTGTTTAAAAAAAATAGTTAAACAAAGAAATATAAAACAAAAAAATTAAGTAAAAAATTTAAATAAAACATTAAATAATAAAAATAATTAAACAAAAAAAAAAATAAATGAAAAAAAATTAAGTAAATGACAAAAAAAAATTAGATAAAAATTTAAAAAAAAAAATTGTATATTAAAAAATTAAAATTAAAATTAAATGAAATTAAGGCACAAACAAAACCAAAAATTAGATAAACTTATACAAAATAAAGTCAAATAAACCAAAAAAAAAAATAAAACAAAATAAAATTTAAAAATATAAAATATAAGAATAAAATAAACTAAATTAAATTATTGTAATAATAAAAGAATGAAAAAAATTATATTAAATCAGATTTGATTACAAAAAATGAGAAGAAAAATAATAAAAACTAAACAAATAACTTAATAAAATAAAATAAAATAAAATAAGAATGAAAAGAAAAAAATTAAATATTCAGTTAATTTAAAATGGTTAAAAGAAGATAAAACAAAATAAAAATCAAATAAACTAGTATATTAAAATAATAAAATTTAAGCAATTAGTATAAAATATAATAATATATACTAAATAAAAAAAAATAATTTAAAATAAATGAAATTAAATAAAAAAAGTTACTAAGTAAAATATAAAGAAAAAATTAAAATAAAATTAAAATAAAATTAAAAATAAGTCAAATATAAAGAAAAAAATAAAATAAAAAGTTTAATAATAAAATTAAAGCTAAAAAAATAACTAAAATAAAATAATATAATATTAAACAAATTAAAATAAGTTAAAAATAATTTAAAACAAAAAAATTAAATTAATTAAGATAAATTAAAATACGCTAAAATAAAATAAATTAAATTAAAAATAAGACATATAAATAAAAATAAAAGAAAATGAAAAAAATTTAAGACAAATATAACCAAATAAAAGAAATTATATAAAATAAAATTATATAATATATATAAATTAAAATAAAATAGAACTAAATAAAATAAAATTAAAATAAAATTAAATTTAAATTAAAAAAAATTAGCTAAATAATCAAAAGAAAATAAAGCTTAATATAACATAATAAGAGAAAAAAATTAGCTTAAATTAAATTTAATTAAAACGAAATTAAGTAAAAAATAATTAAAATAAATTATAGTAAAATTATATACAAAAATAAAAAAGTACGAGGAAAAATAACAAATACAACAAAAAGAGAATTCGCAAAAATACGGGTCGACCAAGAAATATAACAACCACTCAAGTATGTGGTTTTTTAGCGATAGTAACTCATTAGAATTTTTTTTTTCTCTCAATGAAAATGGTTTACAGATATAAAAAAAAATCGTTCAAGTGCTTGGTGGATATGAAAAGAAAAATTTCAAGTAGCAAATTGGTAAATAACGAGATGAACAAGTTTAATGAATAAATAAAAACAAATTTCACAAAACAACAACAAATTCAACTACCACCGACTGACTGAATTAATAACAGCAGAGCAGAGATTATTACAAAGCGAGAGCAACAAACCCCAATCCTAATCAATTAAAGGCCAAAATTAAAACAAATTGTTGCAATCACAATACTGAACGTACAAGCAGATAAAAATGAATATCAAAACAAGTAAAAACTGTCTGTTGGGTTAATTAATAGAGAAAATAATATGCGAATGTTGGGAAAAGCCGATAAAGTGAAAGTAAATGAAAGTTAGCCTAGAATTAAATGAAAGATTTGTAACTCCAATTGAAGCAGTGACAACAAATGTACATTAGAATTATGAAAAATGTGTCTGCACAATCGCAGATGGTGTGCACAGCATTAACAACGAGAATTGGTTGACATTAATTAAACAAAACAAGCAAAATGGGAAATATTTGCGAAGCATTAGAGGATCATGTGCAGCTTCAAACGCAGGCGTAGCACTGACTAGAGAGTGGTTGAAACCGGTGCAATGTGCTGAATACAATTGAAAAGCAGGCGTACAACAAAATTGATTTTCCCTACTTTTGGAAAACAGACATACATACTCGTACGTAGAGCATAATAAAAGGTGCAGGCACACGTTGATTGCACACAAAATGTGCACAGCTGTTTGCATTTCCAACCGAAATTTTCACCCTCCACCCGCCAGTCATTAACTGAGTGTCTATGTACCAACACATGACATTGAAGTGATGGTCATAAGCCGGCGGATAGCATGTGGCTGGGATGAACGACCCGATTTTTCCAAAGCACATGGAAAGAAAAATAAAATTATAAATGAAAAATGTTCAAAAAAGCATTGCAGATCGCGCAAGCGCAATGATCGCACAGACTTTAGAGGTGATGTCGTTGGTGGTGGCAGCATCACATGTAATCAACCCCCTCAATGGGCAGTAGTTACATGCTTGTGTTACATATGTATGTACATATATCGTAGGGATGTTTTACGCTCGTCATGCACTTTTGGATTATAACGGTATAATAAATATATTTAACTGTAGAATGCGCAACTCACATACTACATGCATATATTATAAAAAGAAAGAACCCCCCGATCAAGCACACAATGAACAGCTGCGTCCCGCTGTCCTCATCAGCTAGCCCGGACCGAGTGAACGTGCATTCATGTGTATTTAGTTGAAGAGTGTGTGCATGGCAATCGGTGATGGTGGTGGGTAGACGAGCAGATCGTGAATCACTTGTGCAGTAAGAATTTTAGGTTTTTGATTGCATATATATGCATGTACATAGTACATCAAGCACGAGCGACAACCCTTCTTGTGCATTACAAAGCGTTTTGCTGTTGTATCGTAGTGTGTTATTATAGACAAACATTTTTCTCAAATCATCAAAACTCTCCAGATTTTGTCATACTCGGCCCACTGTGTCTCGCTGCAAGCCTCTTTTTCTATTTGCGGTCTTTTATGTGCTTTTTTTCAAGTGCCCCGGCAAACAATGTGTTGGCATAATGCAAAGCAACACTGCAATTATCTGATTTTTGAAGGATTCACTTCTATTTTGTTTTTTTTTTTTTCGTTGGCACACATTTTAAGGCGGGTCAGCTTTTTAATTTTTGAGTTCATTGATGTATACGTATCTTTTTAATATACATACTTACATATTTATTTTATGTTTTTATTTAATTTTCAATTAATTTTTTTTACTTTTTAGTTATTTTTTTGCTTTATAATTTTTTGATTCATTTAATAACTGTTTATATTTATTTTATTCATATTTTTTTATTTTATTTTATTTTATTTTTTTTTCTTTATATTATTGTTTTTTTCTATTTTATTTTTTTCTTTATTTTATTATTTTTTTATTTTATTATTTTTTTTATTTTATTAATTTAAAATTTTTTTTTTATTAATTTTATTTATTTTTTTATTAATTTTAATAATTTTTTTTATTTATTTTATTAATTTTTTTATTTAATTTATTAATTTTTTTTTATTTATTTTATTAATTTTTTTTTTAATTATTTTATTATTTTTTTTATTTATTTTATTAATTTTTTTTTATTTATTTTATTTATTTATTTTATTAATTTTTTTTTATTTATTTTATTAATTTTTTTATTTATTTTATTAATTTTTTTTATTTATTTTATTATTTTTTTATTATATTTTTATCATTTATTTTCTTTTCATTTTTTTAATAACTTTTATTTTTTTATCATTTGTTTTCTTTTGATTTTTTTAAATTTTATTAATTTTTTTATTTTATTTTTTTATTTTATAAATTTTTTTAGTTTATTAATTTTTTTTAGTTTATTAATTTTTTTTTATTTTATAATTTTTTTTTTAAATTATATTTTTTTTATTTTATTAATTTTTTTTATTTTATTAATTTTTTCATTACATTAATTTTTTCATTTTATTAATTTTTTCATTTTATTAATTTTTTCATTTTATAAATTTTGTTATTTTATTAATTTTTTTTGTTTATAAACTTTTTTATTTTATAAATGTTTATATTTTATAAATTTTATTATTTTATAAAATTTATTATAATATTAATTTTTTATTTTATTAATTTTTTAATTTTATTAATTTTTTCATTTTATTAATTTTTTCATTTTATTAATTTTTTCATTTTATTAATTTTTTTATTTTATTAATTTTTTATTTATTAATTTTTCATTTTATAAATTTTTTATTTTATAAATTTTTTATTTTATAAATTTTTTATTTTGTAATTTTTTTTTATTTATCTACTTTCTACTTTAACCGGAAATGATACGGAAATCGTTAAAAATACATATCCTACAATCATTGATGAAACGATACGCCTACATAACTGTCAATACAAAGGGCTAGCAGCACAATTAAGTTACGCACGCGCATGGAGAAAATCTTTTGCCCGAATTTTATTGTTTCGGAAATAAAGAAAAATGTAGTAAAGAAATAACAAACCACAATAACTATGGAAAGAAAATAAGCAATCAGCTGCAATCAGGCTTTAATTAGTGTTTTATGCTTTTTCCCTTTTTATTTGATTCGTTGAAAAAAAAACCTCAATCAGTTTCTACTTAGGGTAGCTTCACGAAGCCATGTTATGCAGACATATACTTTTCGTGACGCCTACATACAATCCAATTCAAGCAAAAAGCTAGTTAACCAAAGAACGAACGACCGTTAAAAACCACAAAGCAGAACGATGTTCATTGCACAATACATAAATGGAAATATAAATTCGATTTCGTGCATAATTTTGACGTGAAATATTGGTTTCCTGCATTTATAACGAACATTTAGGGAAATAAAGAAATGCAAGGGGATAGCGCATGCAAATGAGAACACAAAATGGAAATAAATATAAATACAATATACATTGCCATGGCAGTAAGCTATGCTCAATCAAGCGTGACAAGGTAGAGAAATAAATGCTATACATTTCCCACGCCACGACAAGACAACTTTAGTGAGGGAGGGTATTGAAAATTAAGTAATTTTTTTATCTAGTGAAATATCGAAAAATTCAATATCAATATTTGTACGTTACACTTGCAGGGAGTAAAGTAATGCAATTGATCGCAAAAAAAAAATAGAAAAATTAAAAAGTACGGAAATAAATGCATTTTCCCACACAACCAACATAGGGAATGCGCTTTCGTTTTAAATAGGAACACAATTACACGCTTGAGTGAGCATATTAAAGGAAGTAAGTTTGAACTTCTCACGCCTAAGAAAATGCAGGTAATTGCAGTTATGTTAATTGCACATTTTCTAAAACAAAGAAAAAACAGGATTTCTTGACATAAACTAATTATTTTCACAAATATTTAATATTTTTCACTTACCTGTAATTTTTGGCTGGCGTTTACGCAGTGTTGGTCTATTAGCAGAGCTGCCATCATGCGCACGCTTATTACCACTACACTCGGGTACTTTGAATTCAACCAAAGACTCATCCTGTGAGTCATAATCACCGCAGGAATCTGTGTCCGTCGTTGTTGATGTGTTAATCATTGTGTAATTTTCACGTTCTGCACGTTTGTCCATTAGTTCATCGGCGCTGCATGGTTCCACCGGTAAGGGGCGTACATGTGCCGCACGTGTGAGTGTATAGACTTCGGGTGCGCGTGTGGATTCCTGATACGAGATACGTTCCCAAACGTATTGTGTATTTGTGGTGAGTGGTGAACCAGTGCGAAAGTCAAAACCCCATTTCTTGCTGGCGCGATCTTGATGTTTGTCCAATTCTGCGGCGAGTGTTCTGAGGGGAGGGAGATAAAAAAATGTTTAAATTGGATTTTTTTCAAATTTCACAATAAATGTTTATTGAACTAAACAATTTTTTAATATTAATACTTTTAATTAATTTTAGATCCTAGGCTTAATATTTTTATATTTTATAAAACTAGCGTCTTAGTTTTTAAATTTTTTTGTATTTTTTTTTTTTTGTATTAAAATCCTTCTTAATTTCATTCTTTAATTGGAATAAATTTTTAATTTACATATTTTTACAATAAAACTCAAAATAATGAATAACTTTATAAGTTCTTCATTATTGCTTGCTATTCAAAAATAAATTATTAACAAAAATCCCCTTGGCAATGATTCACAACATAATTGCTGAGCTTGCTTCAACAAACCAGCAAATTTCAAGGTTTTATTGGCAAAAATACGGCGCAGTTTAGAGGTCAGCATTAACCAACATAAAATTCGTACACTTATGTGACACTATCGGAGATTTATGAGTGCCAAGCGATTTATAAACTTATGAAGTAATGTTTTTACAGTATTTATCGGGTTTCAAGTGACCGTGCAACATCGTATACAAGCCTCGGTATTCAAATCGAAGCTAACTGCAGATTACTTCTTAAACAAGCCCTTTTAAAGCCTACTAAGTTTTCGAAATGTTGTGTGTTACGTATGCACATACGTAAAGGTACTTACCTTTGTGTCTCCACCGGATTTGCAGTACCAAAAAGATCACGCCTTATGCGATTCAATTGACGATTGCAGGTCATATTACGTCCCATGGCGCTGGGACTAGCGCGCAGCTTACAGAATTCAGTTAGAATGACAGGATTTAAAACGCGTGCAGCAGTCATTACTTGTCCAATAATTTGACAAAATATGTGCAAAAATATAAAATTAAAAAAAATGCTAATGATATTTAATTAATTTGCAAGTGCCTTCAGCAATGTACACTTCCTTTTGTCTTTTCGCAATTCAATTGCTGTTTGGAGTGTTTATTTATTATGCCAACAATATGCTTGCAACAACACGTAACCTTGATATAAATGTTTTTGTCTTATGCTCGTTGCTTTTTTCTGGATTTTTTGTTGGTTTTATATTTATTTTTTGTTTAAGTAATGCACAAACAATTCAAAATAAAATAAAGTATTTCCTTATACACTTTTTTTTTGTGTCAATGACGTTGTTTTCTACGTTTGCTCAGTGTATTTCAACCAATTCCCTCAATCACGTTGTTTTGTTGTTGCTGATTTTTTCAATCCCCAATGCCAAAATACTTGGTTAGGTTACCACTTGTCAAAAGTTTTCGCGCCAAAACTTGTTGATTTCCCCACTTTTGTTTTTCATACGTTGATTCTTCCACACAATAACACTTTGGTTATATCAAAACATACAAGTGGTGCGAATCACTTGGGGTACAGTTTCGTTGAACCAGCCTGCTCTACGCCTCATCCACACCCCACAGCAAATGTTTGATTAATGCTAGCACACAATTAGATGGAAGAAATGCAGTTTTTTATATGTCACTTGATTATTTTTAGTGTTCAAACTCAAATATTTGTGGCACTTTTGTAGTATAAAAATTCTATTTTGTAATATATTCCAATAGTCGCCCCCACTTGCAGGTCTCTTGCTTTACAATAATAAGCACTGAATTGCTACAGCTCCACCGTGTCTCTTTTTTCTCTTGTGCCGTACGAGCGCAACTCTCACAAAGCAGCAACACGAAATGTCAAAAGTTTACTCGTTGCTTTTATGCTTTGCCACAAAACAAATTGTAAGCTTTTCACACACTTTTTACAAAAATTACTGAAAAGTTTTCACCAATATTTTATTGAAAATCACAAATTTGTGTATTTCTTTATATATTTATATAGTTTTCGAAAATTTCACAAATGGAATATGCACGTAATTTACGACATAAACTTTTGCTAGTAACACTATGAGCGCACACAACGAAATCCACTCAGGCAATTTGATAAACGAATGATTTGTACTCGTTGAACGCTCTTGACGTACTGACATTTGGTTGAAACTTCGAATTTTTACTTTGCCATTGTACGACGTAAAAGTATCTGTACAATTGCCAGCAAGAAGAGGCAACCTAAAATGATAAATACAAATATTCCACGCAATATGTACATTGGCATACACGGCGGCGGTGGTGGTGGTTTTCGTTGTTTTCTCTGCATATGCTAGTTTCTACTTAGTTCTTTCGTTGCCTACAAGAAATGTACGCACACACAAACCGATGAGAGCAAAGGCAAGCAAGCAATAAACACAGCCGAAATGAGAAATTTGAAAATTCGAATGTTAAATGCCGGCAGCAGCATTCACAATAGTGGACGGTGGTGCAGGGTGTAGTTGAATTTTAAAAAATTTATTACAAAATTCGTATTGCTTTCTCAAACTAGCTGGGCATAAGCGCTAAGGTGTGAGAGTGAAGCATTGTTTAACAGTCGCTTCCCCTCCACTTTTTCATTGCTGCACATACAAACACATGTGCAAGTACAAAATTGAGTTTACTTGCCAATGGGTTTTTATTGTTCACTCCTTATCGTCCTGCTGCATGCGCGCATGTGCATTTGATGTGTTCGCTTGTACGTAAACATATGTACATAACAGATAAATATACACAATCTCTGCTTTGTCTTCTTTCCATAGTGACGTTTTTGCTCATACAGCGCTATCGGGTGAGGTAATTCTTTTAGATTTTCCTGCTAGAAATGCAGTTTCAGCTGCAGTTCTATCGACTAGACATGTATAGTTGTATATACATACTAATCTGCATGCATGTAAATATATTTTTCAACTTTTTTAAGAGATTTCCCTTAACTATAGCCGCTTCTTCTTGTTCTTCTTTTTCACTTAGCACATAATTTATCTGCTGTGGTTTATTTTTAAAATTGAGTTTTTTTTTCTATCTCCGATACTAAAATTTTTGTTTTTCATTTTACCTCCTACCTTCTTGTTGGTTTTTGTTTTGTTCGTGCTGTACCCAACTCCCCATCCATGCACGCTCACGTGTGGTTTTCTTTTCAGGCTTATACCGGTTTTATCTTCAATTTTTGTTTCTGTTTTTTACCCATTTTTTATTTAATTATTTTTTAAGTTTCTTATTTTTTAGTTCTATTTCTCTTGTGCTTCTATATGGCATGTGGGGTTTCCATGTTTAGTACGTATTTTTGTTTTTGTATTCTCCAAGTTTTCACTTTTCCTTTTTCATACGTTGTTTGCTATGAGGTTTTGGTTGTATTTATATTTTTATTTTTGTTGTGTTTGTCATAGTAAGAGCAGTATTGAACGTTAAAAAACCATTTGTGGCTTCATACAAAATTTTTCCAGTTCTTTTTTTTTCGAAAACCTAAGAAATCGCAAAGAGTAGTTTTGGATCTGAACGAAATAATAACAAAAGACTTAAAAAATAATCTAAATAAAGTATAATATTCACGAAGATGCCAGTGACGAGGGGAAGTGGTCGTCAGTTATCGGCAGACCTTCATGATCGTAGCTCCGAGTCCCCGCTAAAATCTTTATATTACAAAGATCCCCACACCGCCAAAGGTGTCGCCCTGAAGTCGCTTGCCGATGACTGTTCCATATTGCTGTTTTTTGCTCGGTTGCCCCCATCACCAGGGGCATATATAAAAGAGCGAAGCAGGTGAGAAAGCTTCGAACCTGATGACCACTACGGAACACCTCCTGTTGAGCCGATGCAACAACTACATGGTGTGGGATCTATACTCCCAGTTAAGCTGGGCAGGCGCTACTTTATGGCCTTAAGTTGCATTCACAGGTAGTCAACTAGCACCTTCTTCAAGTATATTCCTGTGAATGGCAACCTCGGAATCCAATCACCAGCCGTAGCAAATGACGGTTCAAGTAGTGGGGTCATATTTAAATTCTAATTACCGTAGTAGACTCAATTCTTACTTATGCAGGTTCAACTGCGACATACCCAACATACGTCCGGCGATCCACTAATACCCGCTCTACACCAAACATTTCTATCTATTCATGTTCACTAACTCCCATTCATCGAACGACTACTTTAACTCTGGTCCGAGCAGTCGGTATAGGCCGTGACATCAATATAAAAGTAGCGGTGTAAACCCCAAAAAGTGATTATCAGGACCAAAAACCCTTTCATTGAACGACTACTTTCACTCCGGTCCGAGCAGTCGAAATAGGTCGTGACTTTAAAAGTAGCGGTATAAACCCCAAAAAGTAATCATCAAGACCAAACCGTCCTTGGATATCAGTCTGAACACATATTCTGGTGCTCTGGTGGTTGTGATCGACCTTTAAATCACTCCCCCACCCAGTGATGACCGAGCGGAAATGTTATTCAGTGATCACGTCTTCTCGAGCCCGAAAATGTGCGCCAGACATTTAAACTGCATCAGTCTTTCGGATTTCATCAAAGAAGAGATTTAAGTGGTCATCGAGGCGGCGAAGACCTTCAAATTGAATGGTCGCTATGGTTTAGGTGTATTACTACTTAAGCACTTTGGTCTAATCGGAACAGAAAACATCACAAAGTATCAAATTGGACGCTTATCCTACAAGTATTTAAAAACATAAATGCAAACTATGAACGTGAAAGGCCGATTTAGCTCGTTAACCTTCCACAATGAAGGTCTGGATATTGGAATAGGTTTAGTGCCTAATTTCCCAGTTTACAATGGAACTGGTGACGCCCGAAAACGAATTAAAACCATCACCCAAGAATTATCAGAATCAATTATTTCGATTTATTTAAAAAATATATATATAAACCTCCCTGTACCCGCTGGCAGACGGATTTGGAATTCACCACACATAAGCGGCCGGATAATGACAAAAAGTTGCAACGGAATTAAAGTTCTTAAGTTTCGCGATATGACGAATATGACAAGTCTGTTGACCACTAAATCATTGTGAATTGCATACAATGGAAGAACAAAACTAAAATCAAAATAAATAAACGCGTCTCTCGGTTGAATTATCATTGAAATTGCGTTGCGCGACGGCTTGGCTTTAAAAAATGTTTAATATATTTAATAAAAAGTAAAAAAATGTATGAGAAAGTGTTTTGAGTATTTTTCGTGTGGATTTATTGCAAATGTGTTTGTTTTTTGGTGAGCGAGCTGCGCACTAAACTCAAAGCAATGCTTGGGTTCGGAAAGTAGTGTGGAAATCTTGTGAAGTTATTGAATGGGAGTTGCTAATCCACCATAAAATGTGATTTACAACATTTAACGGTTAAGTTTTTGCTATCAATCATTGATCAGCTATTAACAATGATAAAAAGAAAAGTTGAAAAGATATAAATTTCACTAGTGTATGTAAGTACATAAATTTAAGCAAAGATTTTTGAAAATAAATTTTCCAACAAGCATAATACCTTGTAAAAGCAAACTATACAACTAAGCTGTGAAAATAAACTTTATTTTGTTTGTTCAAAAACATAAAAAATTTAATGACCACTGCAAACAAAACGTAAAAAACAGTAAAAGGCAATAGCAAGAAGAATAAATTAGGAAAAATGCAATAAAGTGCTAAAAAAATAAAAGTTTTTCCCTTTTTTACGTTCAAAAAAATCAGGGTCGCACTTAAATACACCATTTAACATGTTGAGGACAAAAGTTAAACAAAAGCAATCAAATGGCCTTACAAAGCGCAAAATGCAATTAAAATTGGTGAAAAAAAAAATAAAAATATATACGTATATGTATTGCTTAAAAAATATGCAGGCGCACCCCATTGAAATCAAAAACGCCAAAAACCTGGTGCCGCACCCTGCGATTATCGAACGCACGATCAGCGTGATCGCATAAAACTCAAATCTCACCACGCAAAGGACATGCCACACACCATTTACTCTTATGGGACACACCCTCGGCTGAGCCCTAAGCAATTTTATACACACGCAGCATTTTCTTACTTTTTTGTTCTTTTTTTTATTATTTACCTTCTTATTTATATTTATTCTTTTAAGTGCATTTTACACACATTTTTTTTTTTCAAGTATGCTTTGTTGTTGTTTTCACTTTTTTCTATTTTGCGCACTGTTTATTTATTGGCACGGTCATTGTCAACGTATTGTGGTTGTTGCTACTGTTTTTTGCCACATACATATGTATTGTATATGCTGGTTAGCCTGATTAGTCCTGTGTGTTTGGGTGTGTGTGTGTGGCAGCAGAAGTCAGAGTAACCCCAAAATAGTGCAGGGAATGAAAGATATTTTTGCCAACAAAATACCAAATAACATACATATATACATAAGTGTGTGTAAGTGTACTGTGTGATTTGTGATTTGTGCCTCGGGAAAGGATACAACGCATGATCCTTTTACTTAATGAAGTAAACACTTTTTTATATACATAATTTTAATTTTTTATTTTTTCTTCCTGTATTTTTCGAGTTTCAATACAAAAAAGTATCATTTTTTGCAGCACTTCCCCACTCAAAAGCGAAAAGGGTTGATGCACTTGAGAAATAATGTAATGAAATCGGTATAAAAAAGTGAGAAAAATGAAAAATCTGAAGAAAAGGATGTGCCTTTAAGTGTTGCTCTGTACTTCTTCTGAATTTTTTTATTCGTTTTTTTTTCACAATTTTTTTTCCTTTTCTTAAGTTGAAGTGTCAGCATAATTAGACAACACTCTCAAACGGGACAACCCCTTCGTCTTGCCATGTAATGTTTGTTTTTTTACACACCCCAACGGTTTTCGTATCCTTGCATGTTTATTTATATTTGTAGATTAATGATTTTCATTTGTTTGCTCATTTATTTGTTGCACAAATATTATGTGAAATTGCATTTAATTAGTAAAAATATGAGTTGTAAAAAGAAAAAATAGAAATCAGTGATAGAAAAGGGTTTTTGGTGGAATTTTGAAGGATTTCGTTGGTGATTAAGATAAAAGAGAAGTGGTTAAGGTGAAGAATACGAAAAATTCTCAAGTATTTTTGCGATTATATGCTTTGATTAAGTGCAAAATTAACGTGTACGACAATGAGGAAATGGATTTTCTAGTTATCAACGATGATCACAATTTTTCATGCTAAACACTGCTGGTTGCTCAGTTTTGCGGGAAGCGGGTATTATATTTTTGGAGCAAGGAAAAAAGGTTTACTTGAGTTTGAACTATTGTGAATATAACTTTTGATATGAAGAAGTACAGCAGTTGTAATAAATTAGTCAATAGTAGCAAAATGCGTTGGAAATTATTTACATTTATGCACTAAAAATGGAAATTGTTATTATCTATGTAAGTATATTAATTTCAGACATAATTGTTCTACAACACATCAATTATTATCAG